TAATAAAAGAGGCTAAAAGTCAGCATTACTGTAGGCTTATTGCAAAATCAGATAATAAGATAAAAACAACCTGGAATGTACTAAAACACGAGTCAGGAAAATTACATCAGACTGAACAGATACCATCTGTTCTTATAAATGGTGAAAAAGTAAAGGATCCAGAAATAATCACAGATGCCTTCAATACTTTTTTTTTGATGATTACAGAAAATCTAAACTTGCATCAAGGGACAAAAGGTGATGCCATTTCATTTCTAAAAGATGCTTTTCCTGGAAAATTCCCTGGTATTAAGTCCATTCCAACCACAGAAACTGAGATAAAAAGCATGTTACTTTCTCTCAAGGCAAAACACTCATCAGGTTATGATGGAATAACAAGTAAAATTTTAAAAGTTTGTACATCACTGATCAGTCACCCATTAACTCACATTTGTAATCACTTGCTCTTGACTGGGATCTTCCCTAACCGTCTTAAGATTTCAATAGTAAGACCAACATACAAAAAAGGTGACAAATCTAGTATGTCAAACTAGAGACCAATCTCACTATTAACTACTTATTCTGAAGTACTTGAGAAAGTTATGTACAATAGATTAAGCCATTATTTGCAGACTAATAATAATATACTGGTCCCAGAACAATTCAGCTTCAGGAAGGGAATATCCACTGAAAATGCAGCCTTTATGCTAACAGACAGTGTATTAAAATCTATTAACCAGAAAATGCATGTAGGTGGAATATTCTGTGATTTAGCTAAAGTTTTGTTTGTGTTAATCATGAAATTTTGTTAACTAAATTGCAATTTTATGGTATTCAGGGAACAGTGGCAGGTTGGTTCAGATCCTACCTTGTAGAAAGAAAACAAAAGATTGAAATAGAATCGCCTAATGCAACCCAAAGTACTTATTCAAAATGGGGAACAATGGAGCATGGAGTTCCTCAGGCATCAATTTTAGGACCTTTGCTTTTTATAATCTATATAAATGACCTTCCCCCAACAATAAATACCCGATCAATACCCATAATATTTGCTGATGACACTAGTGTAATAATTTCTAGTAAGAATTTAGGTGATTTCTGTATGTCATTGACCAGTGTTCTCTCTCATATGAGTAAATGGTTTGCTGCTAACAAACTGGCCCTGAATGGAGATAAAACAGATATATTAAAATTTGTAACAAATAATACACCTCAATATCCATTAAGCATTGGATATAATAATAAATATATAGAAGAGTCAGTACACAGTCGTGGGTCAAGTCCCGATGAGGTCATTGGATTTTTTCCAGTTGACCTAACCCTTCCAACCGCACTATGGCCATGGGGTCGACTCAGCCTCTAACAGAAATGAGTACCAGGAATTAATTAAATAATTTTCCTTGGGAGTAAAGCTCAGCTGGCGCATAAGGCTGCCAACCTTACCGCTATCTTTGAGCTGATTGTCTAGATAATGTGGGATCCTCAGCGTCTCACAATCCTATGGGTCTTCACAGCCTGTTACAGGGATAGCTTTACTTTACTTTACAAACTGATAACCACTTAAACTGGAAATACCATATCGATCAGTTGGTTCCGAAGTTAAGTTGCACATGTTATGCGATAAGAGCTTTGTTACATGTCAGCAACATTGATACACTGAAATCAGTTTATTTTGCCTAGTTTAACTCTATAATGAAGTATGGAATAATATTTTGGTGTAACTCATCTGACATCAAAAAGGTATTTACATTACAAAATAAAATTGTTAGAATCATGGTGGGTATAAAACCTCAAAATTCTTGTAGAGAACTATTTAAGAGATTACAGATCTTACCTCTTCCATGTGAATATATATTTTCATTATAAATAACCAAGGACGTTTTCAGACCAATTTGGATGTACACAGTGTTAACCCAAGAAACAAGCATCATCTCTATAGACCGGTTGCTAACCTGACATGTTTTCAGAAAAGCGCATATTATTCTGGCATTAAAATTTTCAACAATCTACCTTCTAGTCTCAAAAGTCTAATGAATGAAAAGGCACAATTTAAANCCTATGGCCCTCGGGTCAACTCAGCCTCTAATGGAAATGAGTACCAGGAATTAATGAAATAATTTTCCTGTGGAGTAAAGCGCGGCCNAATCCTTCCAGCCACACTATGGGCCTCGGGTCGACTCAGCCTCTAACAGAAATGAGTACCAGGAATTAATGACATAATTTTCCTGTGGAGTAAAGTGCGGCCGGCGCGTAAGGCTGACAACCATACTACCATCTTTGAGCCGATTGTTTAGATAATGTGGGACCCTCAACGTCTCACAACCCTATGGGCTTTCATGGCCTGTTACAGGAATAGCTTTACTTTTTTTACTTTTACGATACTTAAATACACACTCATTCTACTCTGTTGATGAATTCCGAACTGTCTAAAAATGACTCGTCCTTTTAAAAGGTTATGTACATAGCATAAGTTGACAGTATTGACTTATATATATGGATGTATTATTTTTTGTCTCAGTTGTACTGTATTTATGGCTTTTGTATTTGTATTCCTTTTTCCACATCCTACAGTCATTCTGACTTAACTTTGGATCTACAGAATNGATTGACTTATATATATGGATGTATTATTTTTTGTCTCAATTGTACTGTATTTATGGCTTTTGTATTTGTATGCCTTTTTCCACATCCTACAGTCATTCTGACTTACTTTGGATCTACAGAATGTAATGTATGTCTGTATATGTAGTGTATATAGCGATTGGCTATGGATTGGACAGTGGGGAACTGGGGTTTGATTCTCCATGGGGACAAGAGATTTTTCTTTTATTTACAGCAAGCAGACTGGCCTTGGGGCCCACCCAGCATGCTATCAAATGGGTGCCTAGGGATGTGTCCCTGGGAGTAAAGTGGCAGGGACATGAAACTGGTCACTCACTTCCATCTGCGAGGTTAAAAATCAATGCAGCTATACCTCCACCCCCCTCCCCAAATTTTTCTTGACAGCTTTGTGCTGTGTTAAGTATGGAGGGGTGGTCAAGGCACTCAAGTTTGGTGAACGGTTTTTCTTTTCTTTAATGACATGTAATGCGATATAGGGACTACAGATTTATCTGCCATCATTCGGGGATATGGAACCAGTCACAATAAAAAGGTACTCCAATATTACTGAGATCATTCTCTCAAGTAAGCTATGAGGAGATATGATATTACAGTGTGTTTTATTTCCTGTGACTTTCAGGAATTTAATGTTATTTTTTAATCAAATCACAACATAGTCAAGATTTAGTAAAATCTACTGGAAGAGTCATATTCTGGGTTATGACACTGTGTAGTGTGGTAGGAGGGTACTGGCATTTTGGAGGAACATACTGCCTCCATTTTCTGCTAGAAGAGTATGTTTGATTTCTAGCAGGGGCAGGGATATTTCTCTTTGCCACAGACTCCAGACAGGTAATGGAGCCTACTCAGCCCTCTGTCCAGTACATAAATCAGCTGCATCCAATAACTGTCAGGTGCTTTTACCCTCTGAAGAGCAGGGAAAAGGGGCCAGTAAAAACTGCAGGAACATGAAGTGGTTCTCTGACCAGCAGTTACTGCGGAAGTTGGAAACAATATGATACAGCATTACTTGTAACCATAACTTGCAGTATTGCTATGCTTTCCTTTGTGATCTCTGACCAGCAGTTACTGCGGAAGTTGGAAACAATATGATACAGCATTACTTGTAACCATAACTTGCAGTATTGCTATGCTTTCCTTTGTGATCTCTGACCAGCAGTTACTGCAGAAGTTAGAAAGAATTTGATACAGCATTACTTGTAATCATAATTTGCAGTATTGCTATGCTTTCCAGCAAAGGATGAATTTCTGTTTCATAGTAATGGTTTAAAATTTCCACCTGGGACAGGCTGGATGGTTGGAATAATTTTGAAATGTGAGTTTTAATTGCTATTAGTGATTTTGAAGTAATGGTCCATTGTTCATTTATCATAAATTTTAGCTTTTAATACTAATGTACACAGTTTTGAGGCAATGTAATAGCTAGGATTTAACTCTCTTTCTATATGTAAAATAGTAGGATTGTTTCATAGCATGCAATATCCTGGCCTACTTGAAGAATTTCAAATAAAGTGTCCACTTAATCAGTGTCTTACTTGTATTCTTGGGGTGCCTGGTTCACATTGTCCAACTACCATGACAAGTTTTTTGTGGTTTTCCTCAGTTCCTTGAGGCACGTGCTAGGATACTACCTTAAATTAGGTTATAACCACTTCCTTTCATATCCATTTCAATTCATTATTCACAGTCATCCACATTTTTGAAGCCATATAGTCTGAATTACAAACAGCATCACTAAATAGACCACAGACAGACACATTACATAAACAGTATAAAGTGTACTATGTTATAATTTGATTTATTTCCAAACACAGGTTCGAGTCTCTTACAGGAAGTTCATAGATTCTTTACGCATTTATGTACGCGGTGGTTCTGGTGGCATGGGTTTTCCAAAATACGGAGGAATTGGTGGAAAAGGAGGAAGTGTTATTGTAGTTGCTGCAGAAGGTGAGTGGGTAATTGGATTTACTAGTGCACTTTCTCTTCAATTGATTGATTGATTGATTTATTTTGTCACTGTAGATCATTGTACATGATATATGACAAGTCAAGTTAATTCTGAATATTAACAATTTGATATATAAGTAGATTAAAATTACAATAGTTACAATTTTTTACTGCTTATTACAATTTAGAATTAGTTAGATATTATTTGTGGAGAATTTGATGGAATGAACATTGGCAGGGGAAACCGAAGTACTCGGAGGAAACCTGCCCCAGCGCCATTTTGTCCATCACAAATCCCACTTGCTCAGATCACAGTGGTGGGAAGCCAGCGACTAAAAGCTATGGCGATTTTATCAGAATTTTAATTCTGATCTCTTAAAACTTGCAATTAATAATCATCATCAGAATTTAATGTTCATATACTAATGTAATATTTTGGACTTTCCAGTATAATCCTCAAACACATGCAGAAAGTATACTTTAAGAGTGCTATTAATAAGGTTATTTAGAACTCTAGAGAGGAAGCTGTCCAGAAATTTGTTTGTGTTCTTATGGAACAGGACAGTGAAGTTGGGGATTACTCCTGCGTATGAAGGAGCAGTAGCATCATATCAGGATAAATGTTGTAATGGGTTACATGTGTCCCTGAAGTCTGATACTGTTTCATTTAGTATAATTTTAAAGGATGGTGTACTTGAAAACAGAAGGAACAGGCTTTTATAAAACTTATAGGCTACTCAAAGTTTTGTGATTTGGGGCTATAAGTCTATACTTCTTGTAATTAATTGTTCTGTGTGACAGATTAAGAAACTTTTGTAAAGTGCATTTCATTTTATGTAAGTATTTGATTTAGAGTTCTGAACTGCAAATTGCTAGGTTAGTTACAAAATGTTTTCCTTTCAAAGGTGTAACTCTGAAGTCCTTGTTAGATAAGAATCCAACCAAGAGATTTGTTGCTGGAAATGGAGGTAATAGCCACAAGAATAGGATACTTGGAGAACCTGGTGCAGACATCACAATACCAGTACCCGTTGGAATCACAGTGTTAAATGATTTTGACCAAGTTCTTGGTAAGATTGGAAATATATAAATAGGATGAGACCCAACTGGCAAAGTTTGGTTTAAGTTCATGGAGAAGGTTTACAATGTTGTCATTTAACCACTTGCCTGGGGAGTTTTATCTGCTGTGTTATAACATGTCCTGGGTAGTTTCTTTCTCAGCCATGTAACTCTGATAGTTCACAATACAAAATCTTGCTGTTTAAAATCTGTGATAATGATAACAATTTTTTGTAGTGATTCTGTTGTAAACTATGTATTGTGTGTGCATCATATTGCCAAGATTTTGATCTTCTAAAGTCCAGAAACACTCTTATTTACACATATACACTTCAAACTACGTGGCACTGTTTTATGAAAACTTGAACCTGTTGCCTGAGCACATGCAATGGAGAGAAACTGAATAGATGGCTGGTATTTTACTGTCTTTCTTGCACAGTGCTGCCATCTAAACAAAATTCCAACCGTTAAAGAATGGTAAAAGTTCTAGCTGTTTAGCTTCTTGTACTCAGGAGTTATATGTGGTTGAAATCAAAGTGCATATTGGTACAGCACACCCATTAAGCTATTGTTGGACAATGATGGAATGTTTTGTCATACCCAATGTTTAAAGAATTTCAAGATGAAAGAATTTTTCACAAAATTTCATAATCTATCCATACTCTGTATTTTACCTGTTTGTAGGCACGAATAACCATGGCATTGAAGTGCTTCTAAACTCATTACTATTTACATGCTTGTCTGTAACTGTTCACTAATTGTTATCAGATCAGGGTGAGTCTGTTTTCTATTGTTGCACTATGGTTGTTTCCAGAAGTGACTATTAAAATGTGCATGTTTAAGTTTTCTGAATTGAATAATATATCAGGAGCATACTTTAAATGGCACTAAAGTTGCCTAAAGATTTACAGGACTTGCCATATTAGTATTTTTAAAGGAACTGAAGAATATGACATGACTTCCCAGCTGAATTTTGTGAAAGCCTGCCCCTCATTTTCTGTATCATGAGAGCACAAGATAGGACTCTCCATCTTTAAACCACTGAAGGATCACATTATAGCTTAGGTACGTGCAGGGTGCAGCATAATTGATTAGATCAGTGCTGGGGCCAATGTTCTTATGTACTCGGGCACAATTCACTGATGCCTATGGAGGTGCGGGTGCCACCACCACACACTACTACTACTACTACTACTACTACTATACTACTACTACTACTACTACTACTACTA